GTCTCGACATACGCCATCATTTTATATCATTTTGATTGGAGTGTCAATCCAGGCATTGCTTCGAACGCTCCTTGACCACCTCCTTCTTCCACCTCGCTTGTGACCTCGTCCTGGTTGCTCTGCTCGGATACTTGGCCACGCTCATCGGGCACCCAGACGTGCCGACAATGTCCCGCTACCTACTGTGGCCTCTCTACTGGTATGCGCAGGGCTCGGTGTTGACAGGCGTGTGGGTCATTGCCCATGAATGCGGGCATCAGTCTTTTTCCCCGTACGAACGGGTGAACAACCTGGTGGGGTGGGTCCTGCACTCCGCCCTCCTCGTCCCCTACCATTCCTGGCGCATCTCCCACGGCAAGCACCACAACAACACGGGGAGCTGCGAGAACGACGAGGTGTTCGCGCCGCCCATCAAGGAAGACCTGATGGACGAGATCCTCCTCCACTCCCCCTTGGCCAACCTCGCCCAAATCATCATCATGTTGACCGTGGGATGGATGCCCGGCTACCTGTTGATGAATGCCACGGGACCTCGAAAGTACAAGGGCAAGAACAACAGCCACTTCGATCCGAATTCCGCGCTGTTCTCCCCCAAGGACCGCTTGGATATCATCTGGTCGGACATAGGCTTCTTCCTCGCTTTGGCCGGCGTGGTGTGGGCCTGCACCCAGTACGGGTTCTCCACCGTGGGCAAGTACTACCTGCTCCCCTACATGGTGGTGAACTATCATCTGGTGCTCATCACCTATCTCCAGCACACGGACGTCTTCATCCCTCATTTCCGCGGGGCAGAGTGGTCATGGTTCCGGGGGGCTCTTTGCACTGTCGACCGCTCCTTCGGCTGGCTGCTCGACCATACGTTCCACCACATCTCGGACACGCACGTCTGCCATCATATATTTAGTAAGATGCCTTTCTATCACGCGCAAGAAGCGAGTGAGCACATCAAGAAGGCGCTGGGGCCGTACTACCTGAAGGACGACACCCCGATATGGAAAGCGTTGTGGCGAAGTTATACGCTTTGCAAGTATGTGGACACGGATAAAAATGCCGTTTTTTACAAGCACCGAGCATCATAGTGAAGTCTTTCACCGGGGCGTGGGTCGCGAATGCGGCTTAATGTCCGCAGCGGCATGGTTTCACCTAAAAAGACCAAGTGTGTAGTTATGTTTCATATCTCGAGTGGAAACGCTTGATGATGGTGATGATCAGCGAAGGATGGGATACATCAGAAGTATTGCCAGTATTCTTGCTGTTTTCCGTCATGTTAGCAAACGATCACCGTTTCCTTCATATTGTGTTGGTGCATAACTGAACGATGTGGACACGAGAGAGGAAGAGGAGACAAGTACAACATACCTTGGATTGACAACGATGAAAGTTGATTGATATTTAGAAGTGGGGAGATGAGAACGAGGACATGCCCTCAGAAATTCTACAGTAAAACTAGCTCTAGGAAAAAAGAAACTGGAAAGAAGCTTCCGTCCTTGTTTTCTCATGTACATCTTTTTTCATGGTTTGCTTAAACGGGCAGGTAGTTGACAAAGTCCTTCTCAGGCAGTTCACCGAGGCTGAGCCAGCTTCGTCTCCCATCAAAGAATTTGAAATCAATTCGCGATGTTTTGCGTAGTTTTATGTAACAGAAAGGCCGGCAATGCTTTGTACGTAAGGTTTGCAGGGTTTAGGCGGGCGGCTCGGGAATAAGACGGAGGAACGGTCAGGAGCCTCACCCGGCCATCCTGTTCATTGCAACGTCGTCAGGCCCTCATTCCAGATATAATTTGTATTTTGAGACTTTGCTTGAGAGATGTAAAGTATTTATCGATGCGATCCGTATTCAAGTCGCTCACGCAATCTTTGCACGCACTTACAGCCTTCTACACCTCTCCTCCGGCGGCTAACTTTCGGGTATAACCTGAAGGAAAAGAGTGCGGCTGTGAGTGGAAAGCCAAAAGCCAAGAAAGAGCTAGCCCTAGGTTCAAAATACAAACGTGTGAGCCAGCCATGTCGGATGTCAAATCTTTGTTCCGCAAAAAAACCAAGCAAGCGGTGCGTAGGAATCATGCTGAAGTCTTTCCGGTCCAAGACCGATAATTTTTTGACCTATCGTGTAACCTTTACACTGTGTAATACGCCTCATTCTAATAATTGAATCATCCACAATGGTTTTCCAATGACCAGGCCAAGGCTAAAACCGAACCAGTGAAGCCGTAAGTGCAAAATCCTCGATCAGCCTCCCTTGTCCCTTCGACTTTATTTACCTCTGGTTCCGTCTCTCTTTTGAGCATCTATACCAATATAAGTCAGGTTTCATCCCGCTTATACACTTTTTGACACAATAAATTATTATGCCTTTCGCTGCCTCACAGAACAGCCGAGGAAGAGGAGGATGACGAATGGGGTGTGGTACCGAAGCCTACGGAGCAATTGTACCTAGGGAACCGCAAAGCCAGGGAGTTGATGTGAGTTCGTTTCTTGAATCCACGCGGGTTATAAATGTGAGGGCATGCTTCCTTTATTCAATGCATGTTTAATGTATCGTCATCGTTTTGTGGTGCTTGGGATTGACCTTTTCCCTGCACCTCGCTTGTTTAACAGTGGTGGAGCTTACGCCGACGTCAACCTTGCAGTAAAAGTTGCGCACGACGACACCAAGTAAGGGAACTTTTGGGGTGGTTTGGTAGCAATAGGGGTGAGATCCACCCTTGTTAACATACTCTCAACCCCGGTGCGCCGTCCGTCATCCTCCCTTCCATGGCGTTCACCCCCCTCTTCGTTCCGTGGCTTCCTCCCCTCCTTCCTCCTTCCTCCTCTTGTTGCAGGGCCGTCTTTCATGACGTTCGGAAGAAGGCTGTTTCGGCGGCCGCATCCGAGGCCTCCCCAGCAGCTCCTGTCGAACCCTCTCCTCCGCCCGCCCCCGAACCAGCCCCGACCGCCCAACCAGGGTGCGTATATCGTGGTGTTCAGGATGTCGCCTTTTCTAAGAATCTCCCCTTAATCGATTATCATATCCTCCTTGGCATTTATTGCTCGCTCTCATCCCCCCTCTTCTCGTCCCCTTCGCCCTTCTTGCCGGTCTCGTTGCTCCCCCCCGACCGATCGGACAGGCGCTGGCGCTCCCGCCGGGTCCTGGCTGAACAAGGATTGATCCCACCTCCCCTTGATAGCGGCAGCAACAGCTCCAGCAAAGAAAACGCCACCGCTACCGAAGCCTTCCCCGCGCTATCCGGCTTTCCCTCCCTAGGTCCTGCCCGGGCGGCTGGGCCTTCGCCCGTCGTGGCGGCCGGAAGGTGGGGCCAGGTGGCAGACACATCCTCGTCGAGGACGACAGGCCAGAAGATTGAAAAGGAGGGCGGGGTCACGCCAGCACCCGCGGGCACGGCGTCGGAGGGGGCAAAAACAGAGTCGGAAGGTCCCCTCGCGGCGCCTCCCTCGGCATCCAACGCTGTCCTGAGTACTCCAAACTCCCAGGGAAAGGAAAAAGAATCAACATTTGTCGCTCCCACAGTGACGGGGGCGACGGAGAGCTTAAATGTTCAGGATAGCAGCGTTGGGGTCAGGCAGGAAAAAGTAGAGGGAAACGTGGCTGTTGATGTTATAGCGGAGGGGGTGGCTGCGGTCGATTTGAAAAGCAAGTTTGGAACCAAGAAGAAGAAGAAGAAGCACATTGACATCGATGCATGAAGAGGATAGCAAATCGATGGTTGCCTGGAGTTACATAACAGGCGTAGGAAGTAGAGTTTGAGGAGGCCCTCAATTTTGGTCGGTCACATTTCGGATGGATGGAGGTGCATACATATTTAACTCTTTAAAGCAAAGATGTCTGGTCTCCAATTAATTCGGAGAGGTGATGGAGCATTTTTGGCATCTTACTTATTAGCGTTTGATGTTTTCATTCAATTTTTTGACACAGGTAAAGAATCACTTAAAGTTTTCTTCAGATCCCTGCAAACAATACCATCTATACAAAAGCCGTGCTACATTGAGTTGGACTACAAGCAAATTGAGTTTGATCAACGATCAACGAGAGTAGAGACAATGTGCTGATCATCATCTTTTGTGCAGCATCTTTGAAAAACATGTACGCCAACCTCCCCACCCAAAACCTCATTATAGAATTACGTCCGTTACTTGCAAGCATTGCAAAGATAGGGTAATTACGGGCACCCTATTCCTAGGTGACAATGAGAAATGCAAGGTCACTGGATACAGATCTCATGCATGTGAAATGTCCAGGCCGTCAAAGGCTTTGACGAGGAAAACCTCCTTTTACACATTTTCCTCCGACGACGCCGGCGCCGGAGGACAAAGACGCTTCTCCATTCGGCTTCCTCCCAAATATATTGCCAGATATCACAACATCTTTAATCAAAACCAATGGCATCACGTACCTTGTTACACCCCATAGCCAAGGTCGAGGCGTCACTTTAGTGGCCAATCCGCCTGAAATCGAGGGAACGTAGGCCGGCGGAGGCCGACGCGTGCTCCCCTTCAGGGTGACGCAAGGCTTACGTGCCTCGCTTGATTGCCTCGCGTAGGTGGTTTGGCGACATTGAATGCTCAGTTCTCGCATGGACACGTGCCCACACCTTGATGGACGGCTTGTTGAGCAATATTCATAAGCTGCGTCTGATGAGAAGTATCGTTGGATTGCTTTGTGCCATGTTAGCGTGGGTGTCTCCTCACATCGTCCATCTTCCCGCCCGATCAACCCCTTTCCACCAGGCACGGGGCAGGCACCGTCAGGAAGATGAAGCGCCGGCCAATAGTCTCCGATAGAATTTTCAGGCATTTATTGCTGACCTTGGTTCTCCTTGCCTCCCTTTTACCCGGCGTCGCCTTTTCCTTCAAATTGGGCATCATCCCTTCGGGCCCTAGGTACGCGAAAAGCATCTGAATCAGTCTCGACATACGCCATCATTTTATATCATTTTGATTGGAGTGTCAATCTTCTTTTTGCCTCTTGATGCGCTTTCCAACAGTATAGGGATATTGACAAATCTGTCTGTCGATCAACCAGTTTTCTACCTTAGTAAGACACACATGCTCTTCCTTCTCGAAGCCTTCCCACTTTACCCTTCCAGTAACCTCTCTCTTGATGCGCCATCGCGTGATGCTTTGGCGTCTCGGATTCCAAGTCCTTCGCGTTTGGAACCTCGAACATCCTTGACGCACTTCTCCTCCCCAATTGTCCGTAAAATCAG